CCCAGCCCAGAAATATTTTATTTATTTATTTATTTTTTAGTCAGAAATATTTTATTTATTTTTTCAGCCAGAAATATTTTAAAGCAAAAAGTTTGTTCAGAGAAAAATAAATGATCCAATGGGCTAAATGAAAGTAATCTTAGTTGGCCTAATTAAAAGTATAATTTGAGGCCAGAAGATAATTGCTGTTTAATTGAAAATATTTTTTTTTTTAATTTTCATTTTTTATGTATCTAGTACAGGGTCTCACTACCAGCTCGGACTAGTAGTGAGCCTCCTGTTTTCAGCCTCCCCAGTGCTGGGATTACAGGCATGTGCCACCACGCCCAGAATCTGCTGTTTAATTTATTTTATTTTTTTTAGTGTTTTAATTTTTGGTAGAGCCAAGGATTGAACTCAGGCCCTTGTGCTTGCTAGGCAATCACTTACTCTACTGAACCATCTCCCTGGCCCCCTGCTGTTTAATTTAAAAACAGCACATTTAACATTTTATCTTTAGGGGCAGGGGAGATGGCTCAGTGGAATAAGCGCTTCCCTGGCAAGTGCAAGGGCCTGAGTTCAATCCCCGGTTCCGCAAAAAATAAAAAAATAAAACTTTATCTTTAAAAACCTTTTTATTATTGGTAGTAATTTTATTGTAATATTATTCGTAGTAATTTTTATTAGTTTATAGTACGCTTTAATCTTACCTATATTTCATAATTTCAACTATATCCTCAGCATCTTCTTTGGTTGCCTTCTCCCTCAGTTCTAGCCTTGCTCGTGCCTTTGAAAAAAAGCAATCATTTTAAAGATCATAAAGATAATAATATGTTTAAGATAATAAATACATCCCCTGTTGTTTGAGGAGTTATGGTCTAAGTTTATTTATTCATTTATATAAAAACTGACTTGTGAGAAGCTATAATACTAAAAATCAGAATTTTTAAAAATTAGAAAATTTGAGTATAAAAGTAACTTGCTTAAAATGTGAATAAAGCTTGCTTTTACAGGCATCTTTTTCTGAGAGTTCATCTTAGGAGATTTGACTATGAAATATACTTGGTTTTTCCTTGCCTTTACTTAAAAAAAAAAAAAAAAAAAATCATACCTAGCCAGTCTGTTAAAACACTAAGAATTAATCAGATTTTAGAAGCAAAAAACCCAAGTATCTGACTCAGCTGACTGAGCTACCCAAGATCTCTAAATTCCACAATGTGAAAAGATATCATTGCTCTTAGCAAGCAGGTACTATCCTTGTATAGACCCAATGTGTAATCAAATCAAATACTCAAGATATTTGACATATTCCAAGTTCTCCTTTGCCTGTCTTAGAATCCCAGATCCTAGTTAGCATAGCTACTTTTAAGATACTCCCGGAATCGCCTGTCATGAAAAGAATATAAAAGTTGCATAATAAGTAGCAGATCTTGTACACAGAAGGAGATGCCCTAACATATTACAGATATGACCAAATCTTTTTATAAGCTTTTATCTACCAATTTGTAATGTTTCTCAGGAAGAAGAAAACCTGAATCAATTGCACAGGAAAATTTATCAAGAGAAATCACACTATGTCCTATCCCCTTTAAACCAAAAAAAGAATGTGCAAATAAACCTCTGTTAGACGAATCAGAGACTCCAGCTGCCTCGTAGTTATTGGTGAGCTGTTTGACCTCTGGCTCTGTTTGCGGAGCTCCAGGTAAAAATCTTGAAGAACTTGAGCAGCTTCAGGGGACAGCCTGGGGTGGACGTACTGGCGGGCATAGCCAATGTACTTCCTCAATAGCTGGTGGGGAATTGGGTCTATTGTTTCTCCAGGAACCACCTGTAAAGGCAGAAAGGCTCACGGTTATCAGATAAGTAGCATATAAAATCTTTGTCTTAAATACTTAGATAAGTATAAAATTAAACATATCTCCAAGTAAATCAAATGCTATAATTATAGCTATCACTTTGTTGACTTAAATGATTTTAAGTAAGTTTATACAAACTACTATCACAATACAAAGACTTTTTTGTTCTTGTCCTGGGGATCAAACGCAGGACCTTGTGCTTGCCAGGCAGGTGCTTATGTGGCTGAGCTATCTCCCCACAAAACAACAAGTTTTGGTATGAAAGTTTGCATACCACTGCTCTACAGTAAATTACACACAGAACCTTTCTGTTTTTTTGGGTATTGTTCAGTGGTGGTGGTGCTGCGGACGGAGCCCAGGGCCTCTGCCTGCCAAACACATCCTCTACTGCTACACCCCACCCAGCTCCCATCACACTGAGCTTCGACACTCAAGTAGAACCAAACTGAATGACTGACAATAAGCATGTGTACCTTTAGTCTTTCTGATAATGGTTTCTCAGAAACCACTTCAAGTACAGAAGTATTTGAATCTTGGCTATTCACACGAGCTACTGTGGCGCTACTAACAGCTCTCTGCTTTCCAGCTCTTATTGCGATCACATGTTCAGAGAGTAAATGATCATGCTGCTCATTTGGGGTATCTAACAGGATAAAGACCAAGTCGAATCTGGAGAGAAGAGCACTCCCCATTCTAGGAAGCATGAAAGAAAGAAAAAACAGTGAGTAGGATCAAAACAACCAGAAAATGTAGAAAAACTATTTACCTGTTTACTGTTCAAGTTCTATGTTAACAAAAACAGAAGCTTTAAAGGAATAAGCAAACAGCCTTTTGAATTTAATATATTCCAGCTACTCCAAGCCCTTCACCATGTACACAGGATTTATAAGCACCTACCCGTGGCAGGTTGAGGACGTGGCCAATTCTCTGTGTTCATTACTGCCACATTATTGCTCACAATGCTGTATGTTGAAGCAGAGGTTATGCATTTGAGTGGTTCTTAATCTTTTCTGTCATTTGCCTCATCAAAACACTGAATCTGTGTGGCCCTTCTAAACTTTTTCTTAAAAGGGCAGCTATATGGCCGTGAGTCATTACAGCAAAAATGCTATATTCTATTTAGTCATCTTTTCTGAACCTATCACTCAAGGTCACTATTTGATATGCAAAAAATGAAATTCAGAGTGAGTAAAGAATTCGACTAAAACATCAAAGCACGTTTGTGATACTACGAAAAACCAAAATTCAAGGCCCAGGGATTATTGTTCAATATCTTTCTTTTTCAGAAGTTTATATTATAGTACATGTATACTGATTATATTCATCCTGATGAGTTGGTACATATACATTAACACATCTGTTTCCTCCTCTTTCCCTTCTGATCTTTAGACTCGAAGATTAGGCAACAGAGGAAATAAAGGAAAACTAATAGATTGGATTTTTTGTTGGGCATGGTACAGAAATCCTCCAAATCTCTAAGTGAAATTGTAATTTTTTAATGTATCAAAGACTATATTCTTATTGTAAGTGTATAAATTATTAAAACATTAAGAAATTAGTGCTGTGTGTGGTGGCGGACACTGTGATCCTAGCACTTGGAAAGCTGAGGCAGGAGGATCATTGTGAGTTTGAGACCTGACTGGGCTACAAAGTGAGCTCAAGGCCAGCCTGAACTGCATAGTGAGACACTGTTTCAAAAAGAAAAAAAAAGAAATTAGCCATGACAGTGGCGCACCCCTGTAGTCACAGGCACTGGAGAAACTGAGGCAGGAAGGTAATTTGAGTCCACAAGTTCAAGATTAGCCTGGACAATTTACCAAGATCCTGTCTCACAGAAAAAAAAAAAAAAAAAATTTTATCCAGGCATGGTGGCACACATCTGTAATCCCAGCTACTCCTCAAGAGGCTGAGGCAGGAGGGTTGAAAGTTCAAGGCTACTCTGGGCAACTTGGCAAGATCTTGTTTCAAAATGGAAAAAGAAAGGAAAAAGAGGGTTGAGGTGGCGAGGACGAATGGATGTAGCTTGGCAATAGAGCACTAGCGCACTAGGATTACAGGTGCGTGCGCCGTCTCTATCGCCACCTCAGCACGCCAAAGGGGCAGGCCAGCACAGCATGCCAGAGGATCAAACCCCTGACCCCTGCACCTGCCTAAGCAGGTACTTTAATCCACTGAGCTATCTGGCCGGCTCAAGGTCAGAGTTCAAACATCTGTACTGCAGGAAAAAAAAAGACAGTTTTTTCCACACTAGACTTATGTTTCTTTCTTATGAAGCACCCTTTTGCCTTTTGCTCACTTTTGTATCACTTAAATCTGTTTTCCTCTTTCCACACATTCTGTTTAACATACACAAAACTAATGTAAAGCTCATACTTAAGGTAAGAAGGCTGTTTTTGAAAAAGTGAGATCATACTACAATGTAAGCACGTAGCACAGTCTTCTCAACAGTGAAGTGCACACGCCCTCCTTACCAGTACACATGAAGCCAGTTTCATCCTTACAACTGCTACTTTCCACCACCCAGCAGTTTTACATAACTTCTGATTTTGGCAGTGATCAACAATGCTGCAGTATCCACCCTATAAATCTATCTTTAGGCACCTGTTCAACTATTTCTATGAGGATTCCTAAAAACAGAATGGCTGAGCAAATGGAATATACATTTAAAACATTGCAACAATCATACCAAGTATGATTGTTCAAAGTACCAAGTTGTACATATGAGAACTTACTTCTCCATTCCTTTGTCAACAATGATTAACACTGAAAATTTCATTGTTTTAATTTGTAGCACTTAAGCACAATTCTGTACATGTACTGGACACTTGTTCCGTGAACTACCCTGTGGGTCCTCATTCATTTCCTTGTTAATTATGACACTGCCTGAAGGTAGACGCATTTGAAGACACTTACTTTAAATTCTCAGAGACTGTCTTGGCTTTATTGTAGTGTCCCCCAACTGGGTTCGCAGCAGCGACCACTGAAGTTCTTGCAGGGAGGCTACAGACCACACCAGCCTTCGCAAGGCTAATGCTTTGCTGTTCCATGGCTTCTAATAAGGCTTGGTGCTGGTTCCCCATCTTATCGAACTCATCTATTCCGCAAATGCCTTCAGTCACAGGAGAACAGACAAAAGTGTTTTCTTTTGGTCAAATTCCAAGTTTTACAAAATAGAAATTTTCCACTATCAAGCATTATTTCCATGTGATTCCAGTAGTTAAAATTACAAACTGTCGGGGGCTGGAGAGATGGCTCAGTGGTCTAAAGCACCTACTTGGAACAAACTCGGCAAAGCACAGGGACCGCGGTTCAATCCCCCAGCACCACATGCCAGCCAGCCCCGCCCCCTGGTGGGCTGAGCTGGCCACACACACACACACACACACAAAAGGAATAAATAAATAAATAATTTAATTAAAAAAAATAAATAAATAAAATTACAAACTGTCAAACAATGGAGAATTACTGTTTGTTATGCAGCAAAAATACACTTGCCTTATTTTTTATTTATTTTTTATGTATTTCATACAGGGTCCAACTGTGCACCTCAGACTGCTTCTGTTTTCAGCCTCCCCAGCGCTAGGATTACAGGGGCGCACGCAAACATGCCTAGTCTTGGTGGCTGACTCAGCAAGCACAGGGGCAGGGCCAGCGTGGCATGTGCTGCTGGGGACTGAACCCCTGGCCCTGTGCTTGATTAAGCAGGTGCTTAGTCTGCTGAGTTATCTTGCCGGCCCTACTTGCCTTATTTAACTAAGTTCTGTATAACATTTGTTCATTCACTATTTCCATAGGCAAAGCACTATATTGTAAGGGTTATAAAAATAAAGATCCAAGAGTGATCTTCTAAATGCTGAAGGATTTAAATTCAAACAGGTGAGATAAGATATATAATTCAGGCCTGCCATGGTGGCCCATGCCTGTCATCCCAGCACCCTGGGACACTGAGGCAGGAGGAATGGCAAGTTTGTGTAACTTAGCAACACTCTGTCTCAAAAACTAGAGTTGGGGATGTAACTCAGTATAAAGGCACTTGCTTCAGTCCCAAGTACCCCCCACCCCACACGATGTATATATATAGTCAAGACAAACACTTCAACAACCATATGAAATATGCATAATTATCTGAGTTTTCTGGAGTGGGATATATTTGTAAAAAGGGAAATGTGCAACAGCTTTAGGAGGCAAGGTGCTATTGGGCTAGGTCTTTGGGGACAGTGGAACACATGATTTAGGAAAACCATTATCTATGGTCAGAAGACTCCAAGCATGCATTCTTCGTACCAAGACTGCCTGTCTCCTGAAGTGAGTGTCTTCAACCTAGCACAATATCACCACTGAACGAGGCATTGTTGTGCCAGGGATGTCATATGTCACCTATGAGTGACATACTCATAGCATCCTTCCCCTACCAGGCAGCTGAGGAAGAAAGGCTTATTAGCTTGACAATGCGCAGGAAAAATAACTGCTGATTAGAATAGGGAAGAAAAGAGAGGGACAGGGAGCAACCCTGGTGTCACTGGTTATCATCCCCATTGGTCTCTCACCTTGATCGCCAAGTACCAGGGCACCAGCTTCCAAAGCAAAGTCGCCAGAGGAATTGTCTTTTGAAAGAGTTACAGTTAGCCCAGAGGCTGTGGTGGTGTTGCCACAGACGTACACGCCACGTGGAGCTACGTTGCACACCGCCTACCGAGCAAGAAGTGTATAGGATCATTCCGAGTGAAATGGAAATAACAGCTAATGGTAAACCGTTCCTGACTGTTACCTCTATGCCTGGTTTTGTTGTAAGAGCTTTACTGAATAATCTGCACCACCACTAAAGAAGCAGGCAATATGTCCTGGCTTACTGTAGTAGAAACCAAGGCCTCCTAAGAATAAGGAGAAGCTACAGAAACCACATAGCTAAGAAGGAGGGAGGCCAGGATTCAGTCAAACCAGCATAGCCTGGCTCTAGAGGCCCAATACTCAATATAATTTTGTTATGCTTAATTTTCAAGTTCAAATACCAAATCCTGAGTACCAGTTTTAATTCCAAAAGCTCCCATTCTTCTTTAAATGTCAGATATCGTTCCAATTTTAGTATAAATGTTGCCAAAGCGAGCACTAAATGTGAAGTAATGAAATGGTTTCATGTGCCTCCACTCTCTGAGCAGGCAAGGTTTGCCAGAAAAGTAAACAGTGCACACAGCTAAATCAGATCTCTGGAGCCAGACAGGGCTGCATCACCACACACCAGACCTCACTGCACCACTGTAGTACTGCCCTGAGGGGCAAATGATAAATAACACCGTCTATGCAAGGCGGTTAGCCTGGCACCTGGCACATCACAGGTGCTCAGCACAGGCACTGAGTGTGGCTGTACCCTGCCTGACTCCAGGCAGTGGCACTCCGGTATCACATCAGAAGTGCACTGTGGGTTCACGCAGTGCACACCCCCAAGGACTGTACAGTGCTGGCTCAGTAAACAGTAAGTTCATAGTCATTACTTGCAACTCCTTATTTCTTAGTCTTCTTGGGAAGCTGTACTGACAGTGCCTTGAGAATGATTTACTAAATTGTTTACTAAATCGTTGTAAGAAAAACAGGTTACAAATATAAACAGTTTATAATGCAGTGTTAGCCTAATTTTGAAACATCTGACTTAGTGGGATTTACATGCAGTATCTTCCAATGTTTAAAATCGTTAAATTTCCATTTATATTTCAACTTCTATTTTTAAAGTGAGCCAAGAGTTTTAAAAGCATCATTTGAGGTTGAAAAATTAACGATGTCATTTCTTGGTATTAAAACATTTTCATTGTTCAGTACCATTAAATGTTGTTCACAACCATCTATCTGCCAAGAAATATTTCCTAAATAGACTAGAGAAAAATGAAACTCTTATGTACTTGGACAACATGCATAAACTCAATCATCGGTGCAGGTAGCCACTGGGGGTAAGCCTATAGTACACCAATTCCAAAGTCACACAGACCACGATGCTGGTCACAAAGCAAGCTGGACAAGAGCCGAATCAAATCCAACGGTTAGGTCCAACACTGACTTTATGGGGAAATTTGATTCAGTTCTTGTCCAGTTCAGTTTGCAACCGAATGTGGAGACAACTGAGTTCATGAACAGAGGCACCACATTCATAGAGTAAGTCCCCAACTTACAAATATTTGAAATGCAGACTTTCATAGGTGAATAACTGTGTAAGACTCACTTTTTCGGCTTAGGAACAAATCTGACTTACAAACCATTCTTTGGAATGGAACTGGTTCTTAAGTGGAATGGAACTGGGACTTACTGTATGTGACAAAGATAGAAAAGAGAGGTGTAACAGTTCCGATCCCTGCAGGTCCCTCTTCCCTGTATGCTGTGGCTAACAATCCTGCTTCCATCTTTATCATGGCTTTTGTTTCACCTACAAGCAAGAACTCTTTACCGCAGTTCTCTTTACCTTGGGCTGTGGCAAGTGCTCAGAATGTACTTCCTTTTAAAAGGAAGCTCAGCTGGTCAGAGGCATAGAAAGGTTTTTAATGGCATTACAATGATGATGGGTTTAGCACTCGGGGAATGAAGATGACTCATACATGAAGGGTAGATTGTGAAGACAACATGCATAAACTCAATCATCAGTGCAAGTAACCACTGGGGATAAGCAGGGCTTCTACCTATAGTACCTGAGCTGTCTGGTTCTCAGCCCTGGCTGCACATCAGAATTGCCTATGGGGGCTGCACGTGTGCAAACAGTAGGACACTCTTAATTCATTTGCCTGGGATCGGCTACAGCATCTTTACAGAGCTCCAAAGGTGATTCTGATGTGCAAAGATACAGCAGCTACATGCTGTTACATACCAAAGGGCTGGGAAGCCCTCAACCTAGGCACATTTTCCGTATTGGGTGAGGATGAAAGGAGTTTGCAAAGCCTTCTTAGAAAGGACATTGTGGATAGCTTCCAGGTATCACTTATAGGAAGCTACACATGTCCCCATAAGCAGCACCTTTCAGACAATACCAACCAAGGTGTGAAATGGCTGCCGGCAGAGGCAGGCTCTCCTCAGTGACCAATAACTACTGAAGAGGCACCAAAGTTGCTTTGCTTTGGACTCCAAAAGAACCAAGGAGAAGCACAGATTTCCTTTCCTTTGTCAGACTAGTCTTAAAGCTCTGGACAGTGCTGCTGTACTTACAGGAACAAGAATGGATGGTCCTGGGCTTTTTTTGTTTTTTCTTTCTGAGACAGGGTCCTGATATACAGTTCAGGCTGGCCTTGAGCTCACTTTGTAGCCCAGGCTGATCTCCAACTTACAACAATCCTTCTGGCTCAGCTTCTCGAGCGCTGGATTACAGGTGTGCATCACCATGCACAGTGGGTGGTCCTGTTTTAATGCCTTAACTGTTTTGGTCAGAGGTGAGATCACTTCTGAACAATGCACACTAACAAAACATTGCCAAGTACCTCCACAAAAGTGTTGGAACTGGTTCACATTTTATACTGTTTTCTCAGCAGGAAGCTGTGCAACCTGTGTGACAGGACCCTGGCTCGGCCTGCAGACAGGGTCAGATACACACTGCATATGACATACATATCCAGCTCTCCTACACTACCAATGGACAAGATCCTCCAGAACATAGTCCATGCTCTGAGAAAATGCACATGTCAGTGGTTCATGTTTTATAAGCAAAAGGTCAAATACTAAAGTACCAATTTCCTACCTGCAACATCTGACTCTTTCCAAGGCCTGGATCTCCAACGACAAGGACATGTGGGTCTCCTCGAATTGGAATTCTGTTTTTGTCATCTGCATATTTCTGGCTACCTCCGAAGAGTGCCAGTGCCAAGCCTGCTTTAACAAGCTCAAGTGTGAAAAGAGAGGGAAAAGGAAAAACATAAAGATAACTAGCAAAAGGGGCACAGTATCTTTGCTTCTGTTTTACAACACTGATTTGTTTAGGGATATAATGTTTAAGCCTGACTGAAATTTTAAATTTTTATAACAAAATTATAGAAACATAAACTTCTATAACGCATCATTAAAAAGCCAGGCATGGTGCTGCATGCCTGTGTTGAGAGGCTGAGGCAGGAGGATCACTGTTAGTTGAGGCCAGCCTGGGCCCTGGAGTGAGTTCAAGGCTGGCCTGAACCACATAGCAACCAAGAGAAAAACCAGTGATGCAGAAGGCAAACTGCAGCCCTTTGCAAGATAAAACTCCTGCACAGGCATGAGCTCCTAATGTGACTGGACACACGAAGTTAGCACAGGAACCAGCACATGCTTTGCAATTTGGGGAGTGGCCTTGTTCCTGAAGAACAGGCCGCAGTTATTTCTAGGATGAAGATCCTCCATTATATTATACAAGCTTGGTTGTTTTCTTTTCTTTTCTTCTCTCTTCTTTTATTGAGATGAGCTCTATATGTATTTCAGGCTGTCCTTGAACTCACTATGTAACCTGGGCTAGGCGCAAGCTCTCAGCACTCCTCCTGCCTCAACTTCTTATGTGCTGAGATTACATGTGTGTGCCACCACACCCAGCAGCCACACTAATCTATGAAGAATTAAGATTCATATATAAATATGAATAACTAGCTAACATAAATTAGCTATTTTTCTGAAGTATTATTTTTGTAGACTTTATATATTTTTGAGTGAAGATGAAATACTTACCTCATGACCAAAAATCACAGGGCAAAGTGAGCTGAAAAATAAAACACAACTTATAAAATCTAACATATACTTCATTAATCCATTAGGAAATTACAATTTGTTTTATTGAGCAATACAGATAAATACAGAAAATATTTTATCCCTTCAAGTAACTTAATAAATTTTATTTTTATAATGAATTCCTAAAAGGTCCTGGTTAAACTAGAAAAGGATTAATGCTTTAAACACTGTGTCTGTATAGGGGAGACAGGGTACTTGCAGAGCATTTAAAGTCCCAAATACCCCCTGACACACACCCAGCTGGGTGTGACGGTGGATGCCTGTAAGCCAGCACTGCTTCAACTCCAGGGACCCCACCCAAATCAGTCAGCAGTCAGTGAGATGCACCACACTGACACCTCCACTTTGGGCACAAGATATTGTATCTTGGGGCTAGGGAGATGGCTCAGTGGACTAAGTGCTTCTCTGGCAAGTGCAAGGGCCTGAGTTCAATCCCTGGTTCCACAAAAAAAAAAAAAAAAAAAAATAGTGTATCTTATGTGAAGAAACACGTAAGATCCTCCTGAGGCAGAGGGATCACTGCAAGTTCAAGGACAATCTGGGCTCCACAGTAAGCTAAAAGCCAAACTGAACTACCCACTGAGATCTTATTTTAAAGTGGGGTGCTGGTGTCCCACCCACAGCCCCAGACACTCTGTGCAGGTGCTAAGCACCATTGGTTTTCACCAGAAGCAGTCTGCAGAGCCTTTCTGCGGCCACAGGAGCATCCAAAGCAGGCAGGATGGGCCAGCCACAAGTGGTAGGCTTCTCACATCCTTGAAGCAACTCCAATATGAGGCCCTCTGAAGAACAAACACTGAAGCCAACTTCACACAAGGCAGTAATCCAGAGTCCTCAGAGCATGGCACATGCCTATAATCCCAGCACTTGGGAAGATGAGGCAGGGGGAGGATCCTTGCAAGTTTAAGACCAGCCTGGGCTACTGAACTGCATAGTGAAACCCTGTCTCAAAAACAAACAAAAAACCTCAGAGCCCTCAGAGTAATTATATCCTGGATACTAGTGGTGAGCAGTTCACTAGGGCACCACCCTGCCATCCATCCCTTCTGTGTCCTCCCTCTTCCTCTACTGCTGGTTTGGGGCTCACCCCATACACATGATCTAAACTAAATCAATTCAAAGGAATCTCAACTAGAACATATAACTTTACACTATCCTTTCTATTCCCCTCTTAGCATCTTCCACATTATCTGACATAGGTCAAAATTGTTCTATCTCTCTCCCTCCTTTTATTGACTGACTGAGATAGGATCTCACTATGCAGTCCAGGCTGACCTTAAATTCACTATGTGGCCAAGGCTGGCCTGGAACTCACAACAATCCTCCTGGCCCAGCCTCCCGAATGCTGGAACCACAGGTGTGAGCAACCACGCCCAAGCTTTCCTTCTTTTTTCTTTTTTTTTTTTTTTGCGGAGCTGGGGATTGAACTCAGGCCCTTGCACTTGCCAGGGAAGCGCTTATTCTACTGAGCCATCTCCCCAGCCCCAACTTTCCTTCTTTTTTATGTGGATCTATTTATTACCAGGGACTGAACCTGAGTTTTGCTACCTAAAGCCAAGAGTGCCTGACAGGTACACAGGCGGTGTGCTCTCGGAGCCGCATACATACTTGACAATGAGTTTAAACAGGTTTTCTTCAGCTTGAATCTCCTGGATGGCATAGAAGTCCTTTAGTGAGAACTCTATCAATGTTCCATGCTTACAGCTGTCCTCACAAGTCTCGGTTTTCTGGCCTTTGTTATTGCTAACAGAATTTGCTTCAATGTACAAAAGGAACATGCACTTGTCATTCTTACTTCGTGATCCTATAAATTTAAAATATTAAATATAGTATTAGTATTCGCATTTCCTCACAATGACTCCACTAGGATATTAACAAATCACAGTGAGTTATAAACCTTCAGTTTCATCTTATGTAAGCAACAAGGAAATCCCTACATTATTTGAGGTTCAGAAGTACCTTATAAAGAGAAAAGATGATTACTGACAAATCATTACTGAAAGACAATCATAATCAGGAAAAGTCACCCATACCTTCTTCAGCATTTGAGACTTTGACAGTACCGGTGATGGTCACCATGTCTCCTGGGACACAGCTATCTACCAGGTCATGAACAAGCTCACATTCTATTGTGCGTGGAATCCGACCTGCTTCTCGATGAGTATCAGACATGAGCTCCTGGATTCTAAATGTTGAACAACTTTTGGTTAGCATACACACGTAGTTGCAGTTATCCCCCTAAAGATGAACTGTTCAAGGTCCACATGGCGCTGAGCAGGACAGACTAGCCTCAAAAAAAGTTTGGTGGTGAATCCATAATTACTGTGGTATGGCAGCATGAACAGGGTCTTTGCCTCACCTCCTCCACAGGTCCACAAAATGAGTCCTTAAAAGGATAAAGAGATGTTCTGGGGACACAGAGAAGTCCTCAGCAATGCCAAAAGCACAGCAGTCACTTTTCTTGACAATAGCAAATAGGGAACAACAATGGATGACAGAAAATGAAGCCCAGGACATACACTGGTAAAAAGTACAGGAATAAAGAGAAGTGGGGGCCACAGGGAACACACATCAGAGTCCTCGGCATGTGACAACAGGGCTCAGAGTCCTTTTGAAAGACAGGTGGACAGCCATAGAGGGAAAGAGGACTTTGCCACCTGGAAACCTAGACCAGTGCTGGACAGGAACACACATACTTCTTCTCTGATCGAAGGGAAGGTGTCCAGTAAAACCATCAGAGCTCCAAGAAAAAGCCCCTCTTTCTGGTATTTGAGAAGCTCAAATTTAAAAAAATCCATAAAACACAAAACATAGTGGTATACATCCATAATCCCAACACTCAGGAGGCTGAGGCAGGAGGATCACTGCAAGTTCAAAGCCTGCACCAAACACATAGCAAGAGCTTATCTCAAAAACAAACTCCACATTCAGAATACTGAAGACTCCTACTTATTCAGGGCCTCTTAACAACAACAACACAAAGCCTAACTATGAAACAGCAAATGACTGCTGGGCATGGTAGTGCTCACCTGTAATCCTAGCACTCAGAAGGTTGAGGCAGGAGGATCACAAATTTGAAGTCAGCCTGGGCTAGATAGTGATTGTAGCCTGAACTACACAGAGAAATCCTATCTCAAAACAAAAGCAAAAAGAACAACAAAAATAAAACCAGTCCTACCTACTCTAAGTAATTTCTAATCAGATATTTGAGAATGAAATGGTAGTAATTCAGAAGAACATTAAAAAAAATACCCTGCTTAGGTTTTTTAAATCTTTTTATTTTTTCCTGCTTGATAGTTTCGAGAAAATGTTGCTAGCTTAAAAAAACAAATTAGGGGCCAGGGAGATGGCTCAGTGGAATAAGCGCTTCCCTGGCAAGCGCAAGGGCCTGAGTTCAATCCCTGGTTCTGCAAAACAAAACAAAACAAAACAAAACAAAACCAAACCAAATTAGCTGCTCTAAGAAAGGGATTATGGGAAAACAACTGCGAGATCAAGAAAACTGAAAATAATAATATATCTCTCTCTATATATAAAACATTATCTGTCTATAGGACAGATATTTTAAAAAGCCAAAGAAATTTAGAAAATAGAACAAAGAAAATGTGGGCAAAAGTTTAGACAAGGGAACAAGCCAAAGGCTGCAGCTGGTGAGAAGCCAGGCACTGTACAGTGGAAGACAACTCGAGGACAAAGGGTCTGTCCATGTTAGAAAGGAAGACAAACCAGACAGCCCCACTCCTGACTAGGAGCATACAAATGCAGAAACTATGGAGAGTGGAAGTCCAGTTGCACCAAAGGAATGGAGTCAGACCAGCATCACACCCCTCACCAACAGCAGGGAAAACAGACTGAACAAATCAGACGTTGGCAGCGAGACTAACATCCAGATTTTTTTTTTTGTGGCTGGCTCAGCCCACCCTGGGGACAGGGCTGGCCCGGCAATGCGGTGCTGGGGATTGAACCCTGGTCCCTACACTGCCTAAGCTTCCCTAAGCAGGCACTTTAATTCACTGAGCTATCTTGTGGTCCCCGACAGGCTGAGATCCAAATACAGGCATTTACAGACATTCAAGGACCCAGAAGGTTTTACATCCTATTCTTGAGAATTTCTCTAGAAAAACAAGATTATAGAAGACAATATTCAAGAAAATGGGGGCCTGACCCTAGCAGTGTGACAAAGAAAATCCCAGCATAAAGCAGGGCTATAGATTAGAGACCAACTCAGCCAGGCATGGTGCTACACACCTATAATCCCTACATTCAGGAAGCTGAAGCAGATCTGCCAAGCGTTCAAGGCCAGCCTGTGCTACACAGTGAGTTCAAGAGCACAGTGAGACCCTGTCTCAAAAAACATACAAGCAACAGCAACAAGATCAAGCTGGGAGCCAGGATGCCAGCAGCTAACTCTGTGGGTCCTACTCTATCCCAGAACACAATAAAAACAAATTTTTGTTTCATTTAAAAATACTTCTTACCTTACCACTTGTAATGCTTACACAATAACCAGCTTACCGCCTTCCTTTTAATTTTCTTCACATGTTTACCTATGCCCAAAGTTTTACTGACAATGTGAAGACACCAACAAACTTGCTATATGTCATGGCAGCTATCAGTAGATGAACTTTCAAGAACAGGGTAAACAGGGTGTGCAGCAGCTGGAAGGCTTTGAGACACATCATAACGCCACCCCCTTGATGCACATGTGTGCAGTGCATTAACTGAGAAACAATAATTTCATTCCTGCGCAACCATCCCAACCTAAGCCTCAGGAAAAAAGAGAAACTGAATTAGCTCTGTGTGGCAGAAAGGAAACCTTTCTTCTAAGGCAGAAAGTCACTAATTATAAATAAAACAATTACATAATAAGCTAATACTGTCTTTCTTTCTTTCTTTTTTTTTTTGTTTTTGAGGCAGGCTCTCACTATGTAGTTTAGGCTGCCCTGAAATTTACTATGTAATTTACACTGGCCTTGAACTAATGATAATCCTCTTGCCCTAAAAGCTGGGATTGCAGGCATGCACCACTGTACCTGGCTGCCTAGCCAAGTTTTCTGTACCTCATTTTAAAATTACTTTAGACAAAACATATTTTTAAAGACTCAAGAAAAAGGTTTTTAAAATCATTTCTGTTTTTTGTAATAGCAGGCAGTACTCCACCACTGTGCTATATCCTAACCTATCAGGAAGGTGGGGTAGACCTAGGACAAGGTGTGGTACTAAACCACTTCATCTTTTGTCTAGTTTCTTAGTCTTTTAGAGTCCCAGAGAGCCCTCTTATTAAAAAAAAAAACAAAACTACTATTCATTATTTTATGTTTAGGGATGTTTCACCTATGCCTAGGTGAAAAAAAGGAGTAATTTACTGGGTAAAATACAGAGAGAAAATTACCTGACTTGCAAAAGTATAGATTTACATGGCAGCAAAAACCAAAAACTTATTATTATTATTATTTTTTTTTAAGACGGTCTTGTTATGCAGCTCAGGCTGGCCTGGAGCTCACTTTCTAGCCCAAGCTGGTCTCCAACTTGGGCAGGTTTGGCTGGCTTGGGTTGTGGGGATCGAACCACAGCAACCTGAGCCTGACGGCTTTGTTAAAGCAGCCATTTAAAGAACTGAGCTAGGGCTGGTGAGATGGCTCAGGGGTCTAAAGCACCTACTTAGAACAAGCTTAGCAGAGCACAGGGACCGCGGTTCAATCCCCAGCACCACATGCCAGCCAGCCCCGCCCCCTAGTGGGCTGAGCTGGCCACACACACACACTAAATAAATAAATTAAAAAAAATAAAAATAAAAAATAAATAAAAAAAAAAATAAAGAACTGAGCTAAGGGGCAGGCCCCCCAAATCTTAAACAAAACATATAGCAAATGGTATAAAATGCCTAGAGGACAGTGAGAGCATGGAAGGAAGAGGCCTGAGCCAGGCTTTTCCGTCCAGAAGCCTCGGTGTCCTTCTGTGACGCTCATGATAAAATGGATCACACAGCCTCATTTATGGCCTCCATCCAGTTTGATGAATTACATCTCTGATTTAAAATGGAAAACTTCTCAAAAGCCACTCGACAAAATTTTTACATTCTTTCCAAAATCTGAGAAATCAATCTTTCTGATCAAGACCATTATTTCAACACAGAAACTTTTCCCTCAAGGGGCTGGGGAGATAGCTCAGTGGTCTAAGCACCTGCCTGGCAAGTGTAAGGACCCAGACTAGAGTCACAAAACCACATACCATGCCAGGCATGGTGGTGCACGCCTGTAATCCCAGTGCCGAGGAGGCTGAGACAGCAGGATCACTAGGAGTGCAAGCTGTGAAGAGAGGCCCTGTACCAAACAAACTTTCCTTCAAATGTACCTACTACCCGACTCCCCACTGTCTATAGTGTGAAGTTACATCCTGAAACAGCACGAGGAGAGACCCTAAATCCTGCCTTTCCCTTAATGGCCTGTGGCTTACTTGATTGACTGCCAGTCCATGGTCACTGTGAGGGGAGAGCTGCGGAGAGGTGTGAAGGACTTCCCACGACAGGCAGGCACGGGACACTGCAAGGAGAGCAATGCGTAGTGACAGTCACATCTTAGGAAAATTCAACTGACAGCATTTTATTCAAGTAAACCCACTAGGATACTGTGATGCCTTTCCATTTCCTCCTGCAACAACTCAATGTCACTTACTTTCAATGCACGGTTCCAGCTGGCCCCTCTGCTCCTACCCTTACACCACATGCTCTGTGCCCAGAAGCCTGCCACTCCGTGGGCTCCCTGAGGGCCCCTTCAGTCACACAGACCCAGCCCACCTTCTTTCTGAAAGCCTTTCCCAGGGCTTTAACCCCCATTCCCATCTGGCCTCCTTTGCACTGTATGTACGTTGTATTTGCTGCTCCACACAGGCAGTCCTTGCCATATTATCAAGTTGTGTTCATTTTCCTCAGTCACTTCTCTAACTTTGGGCCCTCAGGACGCATTTATAAACTCAGGCATGGTGGCAGACTATATTTTCCAAATAAGACTGCAAAATTTCTCCTCCAACATTTCTAGAACTCTGTCCCTCCCTATTGAGTGTCACATTCCCTTTCCCAGCATCTGGCCAGCCTTGTGACTCTCTCTGCAGTGATCAGAACATAACAGACACTGCCTGCTTTTCTCAAGCTTGTGAGGGGCAGAGCCTGTCAACTGGACCTCCTCACCTTGTGGCTGTCAGAGCAGACCAAGTGCTCCCAGCTGCTTTGCTATATTGGAAAGCCAAAGCTGGGCCATCTGAGGGGCCTGCTTGGCCCCAACCACCTAGCTGTACCAGCTGTACCTGTCATCTCTAACTATGACTCCACAGACACCAGGAGCAGAACCACCCAAGTAAGTAGGTTCTTAAAAATTCCTAACCGACAGAAATCACGCATCAGATTACTTGGTTTTGTGCCATTCATGAAATTACATGTCAGGATCAGTAAGATAGCTCAGCAGGCTACGCACCTGCTTAGGCAAGCTCAAGGACTGAGGTTCAATCCCCAATACCAAATGCTGCTCTGGTGCTGGCTCCAGCCCCACCCCTGGGTGCGGTGAGCTGGCCACCAAGGCTGGGCATGGTGGTGCACACCTGTAATCCTAGCACTGGGGAGGCTGAAAACAGGAGGATCACTATGAGTCTGAGCTGCACAGTGAGACCCTGTACCGAACAATTTAAGAAAGAAAAAAAGAAAGAAAGAAATTAAATGTCAGATAAGTAAAAGGTTTACAATATTAGAAAAAATGAAGCTGGGCCTGGTGGTGCATGCCTGCAATTCCAGTACTCAGGAGGTTCATGCAGGCCTGGCTACCTAATGAGTTCAAGGCCAGCCTCAACCTCATAGCAAGAACCTGTCTCAAAAAAATAAAAGGGGAGAAAAATATGCAAAATGTTTATAATGCTCAGGTAAGGAAGGGCTTCTTACATAAGCAATAAAGCTTAAGTTATGAGCAAAAGACCCACCAAATTGTGTCAGAATGTAAAACTGTACAGCAAAAACCCCCACAAAGTTAAGACAAACCAAAGGCCAGGATTTCTATAACAAATAAAACCAACAATGAGGGGCCGGGGAGATGGCTCAGTGGAATACGTGCTTCCCTGGCAAGCTCAAGGGCCTGAGTTCAATCCCCGGTTCCTCAAAAAAAAAAAACAACCAACAATGAGTCCATACCTAGCATATAAAAAGAACTCCTCCAAGAAAGCAATGAGGGGCTGGAGAGATGGCTCAGTGGTCTAAAGCACCTACTTGAAACAAGCTTGGCAAAGCACAGGGACCACGGTTCAATCCTCCAGCACCACATGCCAGCCGGCCCCGCCCCCTGGTGGGCTGAGCTGGCCACACACACACACACAAT